GGAAAAAAAGGGGGAGGGGGGGGGGGGGGTGCTCCTGGTTAGTCTCTTGAACAGCTGAGGATGAAAATAAGGAGAAGCCCAGGAAATATGGCAAGAATGTTTCTGAGGGTTAGTAGCTGGGAGGTTGAAGTCAAGGGCAGTGGGTACTAACAGCTGTCACATAACCTTCTCTACAAGTACTTTCCTGGTTCTGTGAAACCTATGAATAACCTACTTATTGGCATGGCATCCTTTCATGAAACCAAATTATGTGGGTAAATAGACAGGGCAGGGGAACAGCATTCTGCTGGGAGACCAGTTCTTGGAGTTGGCCCATAGATCAGAAACAGCATCTTCTGGATCCAGATCATGTATGTGAACAATGAAAGCTTGATCATGTTATGGGCAAGAGTAAGACATCAGAAAAGAGGCAGCTTTGGGACAAAGGGCCATGCTTATCAATATTAAACTTTGCCTCCTGGAACAAATCTTTAATCCGCTCCAAAGGGTAAATATTTGATATAGTCATGCCCAGAGAAAAGGTGAATGAACTCTCCTTGTTGTGCACAAGCAGTGTCCTTAGTTTTCATATCTCTGCCAGGATTAGGGATCTTTGGAACTAGTTTCCCCACCCAGTTCATTTGATCACTATATAATCAGAACCTGAGGGGTCCAGTTCCCACAGCTGGAACCCATCTCCAGAAACAAAGAACTGGAAGCCATCTTCAGTTGGAGGGATTCTTCCAGATTTTTGTAAGATTCTTACCCCTGAGTAACCTATTGCTGTATTTGTTTATATATACATACTATTTCTAGCCATCTAGCCACTTCAATGAAACATCTTTTTCTCCCTTTAAAGCTTCTGGGTCCAAGCTTATGAATTAAGAAAAAAAACAAATCAAATTCTAAAGTTTAAAATGAAAGCAGATTTCTTTTGGGATTGTCTATATATGTGTGTGTAAAGAGAGATTAGTGAGACTGGGAGCAAATTGAGGTTTAGGAGGAATTCCTGAATTGGGATAAAATTCCCAAAGTCCTGGGGAAGCCATTTGCTGAAGGGCATCTGGATGCCCCCAGGGAATAGGCATTAAATGTGGCACAGTGAGGAAAGAAACCAAAAGTATGCTTTTAGTTCTGTTTTCTTCTAATCTTCCCTACTAATTTTTTCCTTTAAAAAGTTTTGATTACTCCTTAAGAGCCAAGTGGAATACATCCAAGATCAAAAGAAGGTACATTGGCAGGTTGAAGGGAAGAAAGAAGGAAAAGAGATAAAGGGAGGAGTATGCATTGGGTGTTATGCTTTCACTTTGAGGGATACTGCCCTAGAATATATAAAATTGTGAAGCCATATGTATGGAAATTATAACCATAGTTACTAATCATAGACTGTCAAGTTAACTCCCTAGTGTGTAAAGTTGGATGGACCTCTTGAATTCAAAACATTGCCTGTGTAGAGAGGAAAAGAATATTAATTCTTGTGAAGATTGAAGAATTGTTTGGGAACAGATGATAAAGTTAGTCTGAAGAACAGTGGGGACAAATTTCAATAACAAAAAGTTGACAGTTATGTGCTTGAATATGGAAGGTTATGTGCGAGTGAGTTTGACTACGAGATGTGAGATTCTAAACCCTTGGCCTAGGCAGATTCACTAGAGTACCAAAAATAATGTCTCAGACTTGTTTTCTCCCAAATTCATTTTGCCACTTTTGGGGAAATTTAGGATTGAATATATGAGTGAGCAAGTTGTGAGTGGGGGAGCAGATATTAGATAGAGGTGGCCATGATGTGTACCGACTGGAATTTACTTTCTGGATGTCTTAGGAAGTCAAGATTACAATAAGCCTGAGCAAAATTTAGCTGAGTCCTTACAGAATTAATGTGCAATTTCTGCAAATTACAAACAAAGTCTTTCCTTTACCTCTCCAGACTGGGATGGGAGGCCTTCAACCTCCTACAAGCAAGTGGCTTTGTAGGATAGAAAGCCCCTGTGTGGCATCAGTCTAGGGCCTTAATTAAAGGTGGTCTGTAGGCTTGGCTTACACGCTGAGCCTTAAGAAATGATACATTTCAGTGAGATTGGATCACAGGTTTTCTTATCACCTACTAGAGGCCCAGTGCATGAAATTTGTGCAGGAAGAGGGTTCCTCAGCCCGGCTGGCACAGTCTCCAATCCAGGACCCCTTGGGGGATATCTGACTGCCGGTTTAGGCAGTCAGACATCCCTCTTGCAATCCGGGACTACTGGCTCCTAACCACTCACCTGCCTTCCTGCCTGAACACCCCTAACCACCTCTGCCTGCTGGCCTGATGCCCCTAACTATTCCCCTGCCAGACTGATCACTCCATAACTGCCCTCCCCTGCTGGCCTGATCGCCCCCTAATGCTCTCCTGCTGGCCTGACACCCCTAAATGCCCTCCCTTGCCTGCCTGATCTCCCCCTAATTGCCCTCCCCTGCTGACCTGATCGCCCCCTAACTGTCCTCCCCTGCCAGCCTGATTGCCCCCTAACTACCCTCCCATGCAGGCCTGATCACCCCCTAACTGCTCCCACCTGCCGGCCTAATCGCCCCTAACCACCTCTGCCTCGGTCCCTGCCACCGTGGCTTTGTCTGGAAGGACGTCCGGAAGATGTCTGGTCTAATTAGCATATTACCTTTTTATTAGTATAGATTTCTTTCACAAGTTGTCTACCAACTAAACTTATACAACCTGTCTCTATAATTCCACTAGACTTTTGCTAGTAAAACTGGAAAAGATTCTCTTATGCTTAATGAGAACCATGAAATTTCAGACTTTAGAGTTAGCAAACCTCTCTTTCTATAGATGAACAAACTTAAGCCTTAAGAGAAAAATTAAGTCAATCACTAAAAAAAAATTAAAAATATTGTGGGTCTACTGTGAAGCAGACACTGTGATTCAAAGTGAATAATATGGGCTCCGCCCTCCCGTAGCTTATACACCAGTAGGAAACACTGACAAGGAGACAGGTAATTGTTTGCCTGGAATACATGGATAAAGGCTTGGAAATTACACCCATGAAAGTTGGAAATAGGTATATCTTTATTTCGTGACATCCTTGTGGGCAGATCCTGAGTTTTGTGACTTTTGCTTTGACACTTGTATCTAATGGGGTGTCCTTGGTCTTTATTATTTAAGCATAGAGTGTTTAGACAGAAACTCCAGACAAGCCCAGCAGCTCAGACCCCCTTCTTTGAACAACAATATCCCCACAACCTGTATAGCACTGGCACCTCCTACCAGGACCCCTGGTCTCCAATACAGCATGGAAGACATTGGCAACATTTCTATCCACCACTGCCACCTAATGACTCTTTTGGCTACTACAGCTCTACTTCCTGATTTTGAACTCTGGGATTCTGGCCCCAGGCAGAGAGGTGTTGACTTGGTGACCCGAAGGTCCTGTTCCATCTCGGGAACCTGAGATTCTATAATTGCCTTTGATGTTAGAAGGCAATATTTGTCTATCAAAGAACAAGAGACCTAAATGAATCTAAATCAATAAAACTTTGATGAGGTCTTCCACAAAACTAGAAAAAGAAAACACACCCAGAAGACTAAAAAGCACAATGTAAAGAGCTTGGCAAATGGGGAGCATGGCAGGCCAGCAGCTGTGCTGAAGCAGTGGCCGCGTATGAATACTTGTTATTCTTTTAGGGGTGGCTTTTCCCTCTTCAGTCATGTACCATTTTTTTGGCTCAAGTCCCAAGAACATGCTTTCACTTGATTCTATTATAAATTATAATTAATGTTCTTAATGGAAATTTTTTTCAGCTGTTATTTATTTCAGTACTGTGGAATGACCAAACATTTTCTTAGTGTATAATTTCATATTCTTCAACAGTGTGTCAAATTTGTGTATCGTTATTATGAAACAGACAAGATGTATCAATGCCATATGATGATGAGAAGAGTGTTCACTTTGCTCCCTCTCTCACATGCCTTCCCAGGAAATCATCAGAACCCTGGATTTACTGGTCTTTCTAGATTTACAGTCATACTCCAAGGGCTGTTTAGTAATACCACAGGCTTAGTGCTAGAACCTGTGCCATCTTTAAGGGTGTAAAAATATTTGACATAAAAATGTTTATTTATGTACATATAAGAAAAGTTCAAAATAAAGATTACTATTTAACTTAATGTCTATGAAAATGTACCATTTGTTTTCTTTTAACTTAGGATTTATATGAATTACATCACACTTAAGAATAACTTGAAGGTCAAATTTTTCTTCTGTTGTAAGAATTTCTTATTATGTGTGATGGTTGCTAAGAAATCATAGCCAAGCATAAAGTAAACAAGTTGCTCATTCATAAACAATTTGAAAAACAAAATTATAAAAATTATTTTCAAATTTATTGTGAAAAGTCATTTTTATTATGGGATGTGGGAACACTGACATATATTTGATATAATGTGGGGGAAGATATGACAGTTTTTAAAGGCTCTGAATGTTCTTTAAATTTTTCTCCAAAGAACTAAAAATATTGTCAGGAACTTCCAAATATTTTTCTGGAAACACCAAATATTTTTCAATTCTCCAATCTTCACATTTCTTAACACATAAAGTTTTTAACATTAATATGAAATTTGTTTTCTATTTTGTTATAATCTACTAGTGGCCTTCTGCACGAATCTGTGTGTAAGTAGCTCACTGCCGCTTGCCTCAGCTGGCCGCCCCCTCCCCCCCACTGCTGCTCATAGCTCTCGGCTGCAAGTAGCTTGCTGCCCCACCCTCCTGTAGCTCTCAGCCACTTGTAGCTCCCTGCCCCTCCCTCCTGCTGTTAGGTCGTTATGTGATGGTGTCCAGGCCAATTTGCATATTATCCTATTATAAGTATAGATACTTGTTTAATTCTATTTTTAATAGCTATCATTGAGATAAAATCATACTCCAGAAAGAAGCATTCTGTTTATTTGATAGGTATGTTTGAGGGTGTGTGACACACTGCCCCTAGCAAGTGTGAGTTCCACAGTTTAGACAGAAAACTCTTGAGAGATGATGGCAACAATCCTCTTCTCTTTCTTATTATTCTTTTGTGGAAGATGTTACAAAATCATTACAGCAAACTGTAAGGACTTTGGCTTGATGAAAGTCCTGAAGAGGTTTTCTTTGTTTTTGTTGTTTTATCACATAGTAACATCATTTACCTATTGTGTAACAGTGTATGTACATTTATTGGGGAAACTAGAAAATATGAGTATTCTCTGAGAATAATCCACCTTGATCCTAAGAATAAGCTTGAATTCCTCTTCCTCCAGTCTTCTGTAAAAGTTGACCCAGACCCACTTCCAATCATTGCATCAATTCTTCCATGCTCCTCTCTGTTCTTTTCTAACTAGTATACAATAATTCCACCTTTAGCCACAAACCAACTAATTCTTAGGGAATTAGGTCAGTCTCCCTTCACCTCAGGGCAAGACTGCTCTCAACTGCTCTCCTTATAGCCAGCTGATTTATTGACTTGAATACTTAGAATCTTTTCTTTAACAAACCTCTGATTGACCCTTCCCTGGGCTCAGAAGACCCTCTTTGCCCTGGCCAGTGTGGCTCAGTTGGTTGAGTGTCATCCCATGCTCCAACAGGTTGCCAGTTTGATACCTGGTCAGGAAATATACCCAGGTTGTGGGTTTATTTGGTTTTGGTGCATACAGGAGGCAGCCAATGGATGTTTCAGTCTCATGTCTATGTCTCTCTCTCTCTCTCTCTCTCTCTCCCCACCTTTCCTTTCTC